GATGGGGTGAGGGATGGGATGGGATTTGGGGTGGGGTTTGGGATGGGATTTGGGATGGGGTTTGGGATGGGGTTTGGGATGGGGTTTGGGATGGGATTGGGAATGGGTTTGGAATGGGTTTGGGGCTGGATCCACGCCAGCAGCTGGAATGGGAACGGGAACGGGATTGGGAATGGGATTGGGATTGGGTTTGGGAATGGGACTGGGATGGGTTTGGGATGGGGTTTGGGGGCTGGATCCACACCAGCAGCTGGAACAGGAACGGGAATTGGATTGGGAAGAGTTTGGGATGGAGTTTGGGATTGGGTCAAGGCCAGGCGCTCACAGAGCTCCTGGGGGGATCTGGGGGGATTTGGGTGGATTTGGGGTATTTTGGGGTGGGATTTGGGGTTTTTCCCCCTTACATCCGAGGCCAGGCGCTCACAGAGCTCCACAGGGGGATTTGGGTGGATTTGGGGTATTTTGGGGTGGGATTTGGGGTTTTTTCCCCCTTACATCCGAGGCCAGGCGCTCACAGAGCTCCATGGGAGGATTTGGGGTATTTTGGGGTGGGATTTGGGGTTTTTTCCCCCTTACATCCGAGGCCAGGCGCTCACAGAGCTCCATGGGAGGATTTGGGGTATTTTGGGGTGGGATTTGGGGTTTTTTCCCCCTTACATCCGAGGCCAGGCGCTCACAGAGCTCCATGGGAGGATTTGGGGTATTTTGGGGTGGGATTTGGGGTTTTCCCCCCTTACATCCGAGGCCAGGCGCTCACAGAGCTCCATGGGAGGATTTTGGGGTATTTTGGGGTGGGATTTGGGGTTTTTCCCCCTTACATCCGAGGCCAGGCACTCACAGAGCTCCATGGGAGGATTTGGGTGGATTTGGGGTATTTTGGGGTGGGATTTGGGGTTTTTTCCCCCTTACATCCGAGGCCAGGCGCTCGTAGTCCTCCATGAGCTGCTCGTTCTCCTGGTTCACGGCCAGCACTTTGCAGATCCGGTTCGCCGCCGTCTCCGCCTGCGGGATCGGGATCGGGATTGGGATCGGGAAATGGGGGTTGGGGACACCCCCAGCCCCAGGGAAAGGGAGGAACAAGGAAAAAGGAAGTGGAAAACACGAGGAGGAGGAGGGAAATAGAACAAAAAAAGTAAGTGTGAGAGGGATAAAAAAGGAAAGAAAAAGGAAAATAAGAAAGGGAAAGGGTGGGAAAAAAGGAAGGAGGGAAAAGCAGGAGGAAAAAAAGGGGGAAAAAAGGAAGAAGGGAAAAGCAGGAGGAAAAAAAGGGGGAAAAAAGGAAGAAGGGAAAAGCAGGAGGAAAAAAAGGGGGAAAAAAGGAAGGAGGGAAAAGTAGGAGGAAAAAAAGGGGGAAAAAAGGAAGGAGAGAAAAGCAGGAGGAAAAAAAGGGGGAAAAAAGGAAGAAGGGAAAAGCAGGAGGAAAAAAAGGGGGGAAAAAGGAAGGAGGGAAAAGCAGGAGGAAAAAAAGGGGAAAAAAGGAAGGAGGGAAAAGCAGGAGGAAAAAAAGGGGGAAAAAAGGAAGGAGGGAAACGTAGGAGGAAAAAAAAGGGGGAAAAAAGGAAGGAGAGAAAAGTAGGAGGAAAAAAAAGGGAGAAAAAAGGAAGGAGGGAAAAGTAGGAGGAAAAAAAGGGGGAAAAAAGGAAGGAGAGAAAAGCAGGAGGAAAAAAAGGGGGAAAAAAGGAAGAAGGGAAAAGTAGGAGGAAAAAAAGGGGGAAAAAAGGAAGAAGGGAAAAGCAGGAGGAAAAAAAGGGGGAAAAAAGGAAGGAGGGAAAAGTAGGAGGAAAAAAAGGGGGAAAAAAGGAAGGAGAGAAAAGCAGGAGGAAAAAAAGGGGGAAAAAAGGAAGGAGGGAAAAGCAGGAGGAAAAAAAGGGGGAAAAAGGGAAGGAGGGAAAAGCAGGAGGAAAAAAAGGGGGAAAAAAGGAAGGAGAGAAAAGCAGGAAGAAAAAATGGGGGAAAAAACGGGAAAATCAGGAGGAAACGGGGGGAAAACACAACAAAAAAGTCAAAAGGAAGAAGAACAGGAGAAGAAAAAGGAAAGGAAAGGGAAACCCGGCATTCACCGATCCCGATCCCAATCCCAATCCCAATCCCGAGGATTTTCGAGGAGGAGGAGGAGGAGGAGGAGGAGGAAGGCTGGAGGTACCTGGGCGGGAAGCAGAGGAGGATTCCAGGAGGAGGAGCGGGAGGACGGACGCCAGCGGGAAGAGGAAGAGGAACTGGGAAGGGAAAATCCAGTGGCCGGGGAGGGGGGAAGGAAATAAAGGAAATAAATGAAGGAAATAAATGAAGGGAATCAATAAATCAGATAAAGGGAAAGGAGAGGAAAGGAAGGAGGAAAAGGAAAGGGAAAAGGAAGAGAAGGGGAAAAAGGGGAAAAGGGAATAAAGGGAAGGGAAAAATAAAGGAATAAAAGGAGGGAATGAGAAAGGGAATAATGAGGGGGAAAAAGCAAAGGGATAAAAGAAAGGGAAAAAGGAAAGGAATAAAAAGCAAAAAGAAGGGAATAAAGGAAAGGAATAAAGGAAAAAAGAAATCAAGGAACAGAATAAAGAAAGGGAATAAAAGAAAAAATAAAGAAATAAAGAAATAAAGAAATAAAGAAATAAAGAAATAAAGGAATAAAAAAATAAAAAAACAGAGACATAAAGTAATGAAGGAATAAAGAATAAAAGAATAAAGGAATAAGGAAAGGAATAAAAGAATAAAGGAAGGAATAAAGCAATGAAGAAATAAAGGAATAAAGGAACAGAATAAAGGGAATCAAGGAACAGAATAAAGGGAATCAAGGAAAGAAATAAAGGAATAAAGGAATAAAGGAACAAAGGAATAAAAAAATAAAGACAAAGTAATGAAGGAATAAAGGAAAGAATAAAAAAATAAAGGAATAAAGAAAGAAATAAACGAATAAAGGAAGGAATAAAGGAATGAAGAAATAAAAGAATAAAGGAACAGAATAAAGGAAAGAAATAAAGGAATAAAGAAATAAAGGAATAAAGAAATAAAGACCTAAAAGAACAAAGAAATAAATAAAAGAATAAAGGAATAAAGGAATAAAACAATAACGTAATAAAAGAACGGAATAGAGAAAGGCAATAAAAAAAAGGCAATAAAGAAAATAAATAAAGGAAATAAAATAAAATGAATAAATAAAAATAAAGGAAAGGAATAAAAAAAGGAAATCAAGAGAATAAAGCAAGGGAAACAAAGAGAAAAAGGAAGAAATGAAGAGATAAAGGAAGGTAACAAAGTGATAAAAAGCAAGGAATAAAGAAAGGAACGAGAAAAGGAATCCAGGAAAGACCCCGAGGACGCCGGCAGCGGAGCCAGACCCCAATTCCCATCCCAAGCCAAGCAGAGCAGCAGCCAGGCAGATCCCAGGCAGATCCCAGGCAGATCCCAGGCAGATCCCGGCCAGATCCCAGGCAGATCCCAGGCAGATCCCAGGCAGATCCCAGGCAGATCCCGGCCAGATCCCGGCCAGATCCCGGCCAGATCCCGGCCAGATCCCGGCCAGATCCCCGCTCCCAGGCGGATCCCCGGGGCCGGGCTCACCTTCTGGGCCCCGGAGAAGGCGTGGTAGAAGCAGGACACGTAGGTCATGATGGCTTTCTCGTCGGGCCGCAGCGTGCCCACGATGTCTGCCCGGGGAGGAGAGCACAGCACAGGGACAGGCTCCAGCAGCGCTCCCGCATTCCCACAATTCCCAAAGAATTCCCAAAAATTCCCGGCGCCGGGATGGCCCCGAGCCGGCTCCTGGGGGGGTTTTGTTCTGCCTCTCGCTCGTTCTGCTCCGGGCTCCCGCTGCGGCCGTGGGATCTCCCCACGGAATTCCGGGGATTCCCATGGATTTACCGTGGATTCCCACTGATTTCCCATGGATTCCCATGGATTTACCGTGGATACCCATGGATTTCCCATGGATTCTCATGGATTTTCCCATGGATTCCCATTAATTTCCCATTAATTTTCCATGGATTTCCATTGATTTTCCCATGGATTCCAATTAATTTCCCATGGATTCCCATTAATTTCCCATGGATTTCCCATTAATTTCCCATGGATTTCCCATTAATTTCCCATGGATTTCCCATTAATTTCCCATGGATTTCCATTGATTTACCATGGATTCCCATTAATTTCCCATGGATTTCCCATGGATTTCCATTGATTTTCCCATGGATTTCCCATGAATTTCCCATGGATTCCCATGGATTTCCCATGGATTCCCACGGATTTCCCATGGATTCCCATTAATTTCCCATGGATTTCCATTAATTTCCCATGGATTTCCAAATATTTCCATGAATTCCCAAGTATTTCCATGAGTTTACCATGGATTCCCATGGATTTCCAAGTATTTCCCAGTATTTCCATGGATTTCCAAGCATTCCTATGGACTTATCATGGATTCCCCATGGATTCCCATTAATTTCCCATGGATTTCCAAATATTTCCATGAATTCCCAAGTATTTCCATGGCGTCCCATGGATTTCCAAATATTTCCATGAATTCCCAAGTATTTCCATGGCGTCCCATGGATTTCCAAATATTTCCATGAATTCCCAAGTATTTCCATGGCGTCCCATGGATTTCCAAATATTTCCATGAATTCCCAAGTATTTCCATGGCGTCCCATGGATTTCCAAATATTTCCATGAATTCCCAAGTATTTCCATGGCGTCCCATGGATTTCCAAATATTTCCATGAATTCCCAAGTATTTCCATGGCGTCCCATGGATTTCCAAATATTTCCATGAATTCCCAAGTATTTCCATGAGTTTACCATGGATTCCCATGGATTTCCAAGTATTTCCATGGATTTCCATGGATTTCCAAGCATTCCTATGGACTTATCATGGATTTCCCATGGATTCCCATTAATTTCCCATGGATTTCCCATGGATTCCCATTAATTTCCCATGGATTTCCAAATATTTCCATGAATTTCCAAGTATTTCCATGGATTTCCAAGTATTCCCATGGATTTACCATGGATTTCCAAGTATTTCCAAGTATTTCCGGGGGATTTCCATTAATTTCCCATGGATTTATCATGAATTTCCAAGGATTTCCAAGTATTCCCATGGATTTCCCATTGATTTCCCAAGAATTTCCAAATATTTCCATGAATTTCCAAATATTTCCATGAACTTCCAAGTAGTTCCATGGATTTCCAAGTAGTTCCATGGATTTCCAAGGATTTTCCATGGATTTCCAAGTAGTTCCATGGATTTCCCATGGATTCCCATTAATTTCCCATGGATTTCCCATGGATTCCCATGGATTTCCCATTGATTTCCCATGGATTCCCATTAATTTCCCACGGATTTCCCATGGATTCCCATTAATTTCCCATGGATTTCCCATGGATTCCCATGGATTTCCCATTGATTTCCCATGGATTCCCATTAATTTCCCACGGATTTCCCACGGATTCCCATTAATTTCCCATGGATTTCCAAGTATTTCCACGGATTTCCAAGGATTCCCATGGATCCCTCATGGACTTCCAATTATTCCCATGCAATCCCACGAACTTCCCACGGATTTCCGTGGATTCCCACGGATTTTTCCCAGGAATTTCAGGAACCCCAGGCAGATTTAACCCCTGACGAGCCGGCCGGGACGACCCCGGAACGCCCCCACCCCAAAAAACAAAGCGACAGCGGCCGTGGCTGGAAGAGAAGCGGCGTGAGAGAGCAGGGAGAGAGAAAATTCCAGAAGGAAGATTCCGGAAGATTCCGGAAGATTCCGGAGGGGCCGGGAGGAGGCTCCCGGTACCTTCTGGGCCCCGGAGAAGGCGTGGTAGAAGCTGGAGACGTAGGTCATGATGGCCTTCTCGTCCGGCCGCGCCGTGCTCACGATGTCTGCAAGGAACCGCGCCCGGTAAACCGGGAGCAAACTGGGAGCAAACTGGGAGGAAACCGGGAGGAAACCGGGAGGAAACCGGGAGCAAACTGGGAGCAAACTGGGAGGAAACCGGGAGGAAACCGGGAGGAAACCGGGAGGAAACGGGAGCAAACTGGGAGCAAACTGGGAGGAAACCGGGAGGAAACCGGGAGGAAACCGGGAGCAAACTGGGAGCAAACTGGGAGGAAACCGGGAGGAAACCGGGAGGAAACCGGGAGGAAACCGGAGGAAACTGGGAGCAAACTGGGAGGAAACCGGGAGGAAACCGGGAGGAAACCGGGAGCAAACTGGGAGCAAACTGGGAGGAAACCGGGAGGAAACCGGGAGGAAACCGGGAGGAAACGGGAGCAAACTGGGAGCAAACTGGGAGGAAACCGGGAGGAAACCGGGAGGAAACCGGGAGCAAACTGGGAGCAAACTGGGAGGAAACCGGGAGGAAACCGGGAGGAAACCGGGAGGAAACCAACCGGGAGGAAACCGGGAGGAAACTGGAGCAAACTGGGAGGAAACTGGGAGCAAACCGGGAGCAAACCGGGAGGAAACCGGGACGAAACCGGGAGCAAACCGGGAGCAAACTGGGAAGAAACCAGGAGGAAACTGGGAGGAAACCAGGAGGAAACCGGGAGCAAACTGGGAGCAAACTGGGAGCAAACTGGGAGCAAACTGGGAGCAAACCGGGAGGAAACTGGGAGCAAACCAGGAGGAAACTGGGAGCAAACCGGGACGAAACCAGGAGCAAATCAGGAGGAAACCGGGAGCAAACCAGGAGGAAACTGGGAGCAAACTGGGAGGAAACTGGGAGCAAACTGGGAGGAAACTGGGAGCAAACCGGGAGGAAACCGGGAGCAAACCGGGATCCCGCTCCCGGTGTCCCAAATCCTGGGAAATCCGCAGGGATCGGGGCTAAACGGGGAAAAGTCGGGATTAGGGCGGGTGAGTCCTCCTGGAGCCTGGAAATGAGGGAGGGAAGAGATGGGGGATCCTGGAATTGTGGGATCCTGGAATT